AGGCTTGGGAGGCAAGGGTTTTTGCCCTCTAAGCCCTAAGACTTTAAAAAAAAAAACCTTTAGTGTGTGTTAATGATGATAAATTTCCCTTTCTCATTTGCTTTGTGACTGCAGCATGTGAGAAAGGAGAGCTACTCTAGATGGAGGTGAAATAAGCCTCTTTGTTACACCATACTTCACAATAATCAGACAAGGAACACTTCTCTTTAAATGTTATTCTTGTGCTGCTCCATTGCTATCATCTATTGCATTTGAATAACTGGGGGATTTCATTTCTACTACTGATGATACATTTTCACATGTACAAAACTTGAATTATTCAAAGATGTTGCAAATGACTTCTGAAATATGCACTGACGTGCAAGAGTTATAAAAATGTCTACTTAAAATCCCTCACTCTTGTGAGTATTGTAGCTCAAATTTAGTTGTTCTTTTTGATGAAAAACTGCTTCATTTCCAAGTTGTTGCTGTGGTTTTCTATAATGCTGTCATTATTTATATGTGTATCTATATAATATATATGCACATATATGTGATAGTATATCATGTCATGTTATGACATAACATCCATGTGTTGACAGTGTCAATGGTTATCTATGCTGCAGAGGGTAGGAAATCAACTTACCCATAAGGCCTCTGCTTTACTAAACCTTTAAACAACCATATTTTTGGAATGTTAGCTAGAATTTAACTGATTCATTAATTCTACTCTCAAGAAATTAAAACAAATCCGTTGTTAGGGCTATGCTGTTTGTGTCTATTTTTCATTTATAGATAAGGAAGTTTTAATAGGATTAAGTCTATCACTCTTCAGCCATGGATTCTTGTTTTAATAACATAATATACAATATGGCAAAGGCATTCACGAATGTATTTTCCTCCCATTATATCTTTTAAATGCTGTGCTCTTTGTAGAATTTTCAAATTAATTTAGTTCCTCCTATATTAGTTACTTTTATGTTGCTGTGATAAAGCACCATGACCTGAGCAACTTTAGGAGAAAAGGTTTACTTGGGCTTACAGTTCCAGAAGGATAGAGTCCACAGAGGCAAGAAGAGCATGACAACAGGCAGGTATGGCAGACAGCAGGAGCAGGAAGCTGACTGGTCATATTTCAACCGCACACAGGAAGTAAAGAACAAACGAAGTGGGGTGTGGTTATAAGTCCTCAAAGCTCACCCCCAATGATACACTTCCTCCAGCAAAAGTGCACCTCCTGAAGATCCCATAACCTCCCACAAAGAGTCTACCATCTGGAGAGCAAGAGTGCCGATATGGAGCCTATGGAGGAAACTTCTCATTCAAACCACCACTGGACCTTTAAGTTTCTATCTTAGTGAAAAACACAAAGTAGCTCACTGTCTTGAGTATAATAACTCTTTAACATATTTTAATCCTCAGAAATGGCAAGTTCTTAAATTATCCCTTCTTTTCCCAAAATTTTGCTTTTCCGCCGGGCCATTCAATTCTTCCATTTTAATGGCAAGCTTTCCTCCAAATATTTTGAGGTTACATTAAGTTCACAAGTTCATATGGAGAAGATAACACTTACACATTTATTATTCTTATCCAGGAATGCAATATAAACATTGTTCACTGCTCACCTTCTTTTGTGTTTCTCATTCTATTGTTATTCATTTAACAGTATTCAATTAACAATATATTCTTATATATTTCCTACACAGCTATCCATAGGTATTCATGACTATTATAAATGAGATTATTTTATCATATTGTCTACTTGTTGTGGGAAAATAAACTGTTTTATACAGTTACGTTTTTTTATACCTAAGTAACTGCACCCTTTTATTCCAATACTCTTTATTTTGCCATCTTTTCCATAATAATCGTAACTTTTCAAAATTACAACTATTAAGAGACAACTATGTACAGTTTTCGGACTAAAGACTCATATGTTAAACCACCTGAGCACTAATTTATTTTTGCTACTTATTGTCTGTGTGAACTGGGCCAAGTTGCTTAACTTCTCTGGTGCTCAGTTTCCAAGTTTGTAAAATATAAAGAATAGTTAATAGTATCTCCTAGAAGTTAAAAAAAATTTAAAATTATTGTAAGGAATTTAAAACAGTTCCTAACACAGCTAATAATTATTTCTCCTTTTATTTTATCCATTAGAATTTCTAAAGTGAAGTGAAGTTCAGGTGATCAAACTTGTCGTACAGTTAACCCTGAGAGTTTTTCTGATTTCTTGGGAAGATTTCCTTATATTTTAATTAACTTTTGCTATCCTAACTTACCAAGTGGTACACATGTATGTTTTCTTAAAATGAACATTTGGAGTCTGTTAGAAAATCCAAAGTGTAGGTATTGTTCTTTGGTCTATGACTATAAAGTTATTGAAATAAAATTTCCAACTTGGGGGCTGGAGAGATGGCTCAGAGGTTAAGGGCACTGGCTGCTCTTCCAGAGGTCCTGAGTTCAATTCCCAGCAACCACATGGTGGCTCACAACCATCTGTAATGAGATCTGGTGCCCTCTTCTGGCCTGCAGGCATACATGCAGGCAGAACACTGTATACATAATAAAAAAATCTTAAAAAAAAAAAAATTTCCAACTTGGACCACCATCACGTTCCAACTACACATCCACTCACTATCTTGCTTTCTTGTTGATTTCTAATTTCTTTAGCTAATAATTAGAAATTTTCTTTTTGGCTCTTCTTCTCATTACTCTTGGGGAGGGTTGTGGAGTTTAGTGTTTTGTCCTCAAAGGAATCTGTAAAATGTGTCACATCTGTCACGGAGTTCACTGAGTAGAGAGAGATGATGCGCTCCTCAAGAGTGTGCATTTCAACGACGCAGGATAAATGTCTGGTGAAAGTGAGATGTTGCAACTTCTTTAAAGTCAGTATTTTAGCTTCTGCTTTCCATGCTGGTCAAGGACATAGGTTTAACAGTAGACAGAATTAGACTGCTAGCCAACTTCACCACCCACTGGCTAAATCTGTGCAGTTGGCCACTAAGCCAGCTTTCATCACAGAAGAGAACAACCTCTTCACCTCCTCCCAGAGCTATCATGAGAATTAAACAGATTCTGTTTATAAGTCCTGAGCATTCAGCCTACCATACTGACCCAGTAATTATCTTTCATATCCGTTTTAATTGTCCTCAAGTGCAATGCAAGTATTTATAACTTTGCTCACTGTTTTCCCCCACTATAAAGATTAGAATGGCTCCTGTAGAAATCTTTGTTTTTCCCAAAATTATTTTACTGAAATCATTTCCTTTCAAAAGGTAAATTTCAACAAAGGTCCTATTCTTCATTGACAAGTTTAACAGTTGGCATTAAAATAAAAATGTTCTGTTGGGCAGTGGTGGCTCAAGTCTTTAATCCCAGCACTTGGGAGGCAGAGCCAGGCGAATCTCTGCGAGTTCGAGGCCAGCCTGGTCTACAGAGCAAGATCCAGAACAAACACCAAAACTACACAGAGAATCCCTGTCTTGAAAAACCAAAAAAAAAAAAAAAAAAAAAGTTCCAATAAGACATAGAACCCATTATCAGTGTCTAAATCTTAGTGGATGAAAAGGAAGTATACACTCATCTCCAGAAACCCAGGCAAAGAGCCCAAGTCCCACCTAGTACCTTCTGCTTGTTCATGGTCCCTTACTCTTCTTTCTGTTCTCTTGGGGATCTGAGCATGGGAGAATACTGGAGACTTTGCTCAGGCTGAAGCCTATGCCATGTTCTCCTCATCCATTATCTAAGCTGTGATGGAGGGGCAAATTTCTCACACAAGAGGGCAGACCCAGAATTAAGGGTTAGAGAGGCCACAAGGCAAATTCCACCATTGTAAAATACCATTAAGATCGCAACATGAAGGTGGCCTCAATTTTCAACATACATGTCAAGTATGTATATAAATACTTTAAAGTGTGGTGATATTGTGTCCCCCAATATATTGTGCACCTTAATAAACTTATCTGGGGTCAGAAAACAGAACAGCCACTAGACAGACATAGAGGCCAGAAAATGGTGGCACATACGCCTTTAATCCTAGCATTCTGGAGGTAGAGATCCATCTGGATCTCTGTGAGTTAAAAGCCACACTGGAAACAGCCAGGCATAGTGACACATGCCTTTAATCCCAGGAAGTGATAGTAGGAAGCAGAAAGGTATATAAGGTGTGAGGACCAGGAACTAGAGCCCTTTTTAAGCTTTGAGGCTTTTAGCAGCAGTTCAGCTGACATTCATTTGGATGAGGACTCAGAGACTTCCAGTTTGAGGAAACAAGATCAGCTGAGAAGTTGCTGAGGTGAGGTTAGCTGTGGCCTGTTCCGTTTCTCTGATCTTTTAGCATTCACCCCAATACCTGGCTCCAGGTTTGTTTTTATTAATAAGACCATTTGAAATTCATGTTACATTAAAGATACTGTTTTCCTATTCCCCCAAAATGCATTAGTTTGAGTTGTATGTCCACCAGTCAGCACCATCAAGATTATTTCCTTGAAAACAGTTACATAATTCTAACATTTGGGAGGCTGAGGCCTGGGCTAAATGTTCACGACCAGCCAGGCTACATAGGAAGACCCTGTCTCAATAAAACAAAACATAACTGGCATGCATTGCTTGCTGTGTTATCTCAGAAAAAATATCTCCAAGAAGAGTAATAATTAATATAATGAATTTCTTTCCAGAGTTAAAGACTAGAATTTTAAAGGATTTTAATGGACTGTTGGTCTTTACTGAGAACAAATTAAAGAGGCATGACTAAGAAGAATAGAAATATCAAAACATGCCCTTTCTCTATTACCCTCAGACCCCCAGGAGTCAGCAGATGGAATGTAGCTCAAGTATGCAGTGTGTATTGTTAGCTATAAATGTATCACTAGAAATAACTGACTGGACAATATGGAGTAACTTCCTAAACTGGAGCCATCCCACCCTGCCCTTTCTTCACTGTCCTCCAGCTTTTATAACAATAAAGATATGTTCTGTGACACCCTCAATACAATGATCAACAGGACAGAGAGTTTACCTACCTTTCTCCTTCCTGCCTGGATGTTGTCTCAGTGATTTTATGGTTTCCCGACTTCCCAGATCTGTCTTGCGTGGTTTTCAGTATCTCATGGCCCCTGAAGGGAACAAAACAGGAGAGAAAATTATAAAGATAAATGTCTCTAGTTCCTTGTCCATTATAGAAATGAACAAGTGGTTTCTTGAGAAGAAACATAGCACTTAAAATGACCAATGTCTCATAATTTTTCTGTTTCTCTGAGACTAAGAGGACAGATTTCTTGAGCAAGCAGCTGCCTGCCTTCATATATATGTAAATAGTAAGAGTGATATGAATATATTATATATACCAATTATCTTCTGAGAAACCTTTCTTGTGTTTGCTCTCAAATTGTGTAAGAAGAGTTTACTAAACAGTTAAAATGAAAAACGCATGTTTTTCTCCACATTTTCAAATTTCCATTCCAAATTGATTCTCTAAGTGAGTGGCAGCCTTTCTCAACCGTGTGATTGAAAAGGCAATACATCCCTGCAGCAGTTTTCTTTGAATCCCAATGACAAGGAGCAAGGCCATTGTTTTCCTCAATCACATCACACAATATTGGAATTCTTGGGGGGAAAACATCCAATAAAATCCAGCCTGCACATAATGCCTCAGTGTCTACAGTTAACCTGGAGCTTTTCTGTGAACAGGCAGCCGACCTACTTGCACAATTTTTGTTTGTAGTCTTTTAGGTTTTCTACATAAAATGTCCCCATTTTAAAGCTAATAATACACAAAATAACCCAGTTATTTTCATGTCCATATGTGTTTGATAGTCATAGCTACAACTGACCGCTGGGTAAATCAGGCCCCCTTCACTTGAGCAGTCTACACTTGTGAACAGACATGGGATAAATGCTTCTCGTCCCAGATGAAAAAGCAATGCTTTGTTTTGTTGACATTTTATAGAGATCATCTGATCACTGTTCTCCTAAACCTAGGGCTGATATTGTCCATGCTCCTCTGTTTGTCCATGCTGTCCAATTTTAATAGAGGTGCCATAGCAGGAAGAGCCCAGTTCTGAGCTATGATTTAGAGATGAGTGCTGTCTACTCTCTTCTCAAATCCAGTTGTTCCAGCCTCATGTTCTGCAGGTCACTCCTCCAACTCCGTTCATTCTGTATTCATCAAACAGCCTGGTCTCCCCCCCCCCCCCCCCCCCCCCCCCCCCCCCCCCCCGCAACACACACACATGATCTCATCTACACCTCATCATTCCCTGAAGAGGTTATGACACACCCTCACCAATCTCCCTGCTCTAAGACTTTCCTCCCCTAGCCCGTCCTCCACAAACCCTTCACGTTAATAAAGCAATAAGACCTTTCATTTGTTATGTGTGAAGTACATGTGGTCATATTTTACTATGATTCTCAGACAAGATATCTTTTTTCTCACAATGTAAGAACTGTAATGGCTGCTCTTTGAAGTTGCTTTTAAGTAATTTAATGATTCTTTTCTCCATTGCTTCCCCATTTTTTTTCCTTTTTTTGTTTCAGAGTTTGCAAGTGGTCATGAAGAGCACCACAAGGGCTTTGGCAGGCAGAGGCAGGAGGACTGAGCTAAGTTCTCACTGTAAATCATCCATTTGTCAGGTATTGACTTGAGTCCTCATCTCCTCTGCTTTAGGTAGATGACAGAGCCTTGACGATCCCATTTGTCTCTCTAGATTACTCTGAGATTCAAGGATGTTCCCGTGCAATGAAGACGCAAACGTGCAGCTGTTAATCTCCCACAAGAACAAGAAACAAGAAAAGCAAAAATGTGCTTCTTCTAGTATTAGATCTTGCCCAGGCCCCTGGGATGGAATCTGTTCACACTCCTACATCTTCCTGCTTCCTTTTAGGAATGGGACATTCTAAAGAGCTGGTTTCTGTTTCCAAAGAAGACTAGCATATTCCCCCGTGTTTGGATTTTTAAAAGACCCTGAAGTGAAAAGGGAGAGAACAAATACTGCAAGTTCTCACTAATGTCTGGAACCTAACAATGCAGGTCCCACAGAGATAGGAGACTAGCGGTCACAAGAGGATGAGGGAACAAGGGGAGGGGAGATGAGTAAATGTTGCAGAACCGGTACAAAGTCACAGAACAGATCCTGATGTTCTACTGCACAGTAGGGTGACCACAATTAACAATATGTATCCCATACAAGATTATTATTGTTCTTACCACAGAGAAATGATGAATTTAAGATAATGTGCATGCTAATTACCTGAGTTTATAGCATCACATCACATTGCATGCTATGAATGTGTGCATTTGATTGTGCATCAGTCAAAAATAAAATAAAAAGAAACAGGACTCAAAAGAGCAATAAGTCTTGATTTACTAAACTCAGCATTTAAGCAAAGTAGAAGAATCGTTTAGGAGACAAGTATCAACCATTTTCTTTAATACATTGATAATAACACAAGAAATCAATAAATACTTTTAATTAAAAAAATAGCTGGAAAGATGGCTCAGCCACCGAGAGACCTTGCTGTTTTCACAAAGGACTGGAATTCAGTTCCCATCACCCCCAGTACCCCCATCACAACTGCCTGCAACTCCAGTTCCAGGGGATCTAGCACCATTTTCTGGCCTCTGTAGGCACCTGCATAACTGCGTGCGCGCGCGCGCGCGCACACACACACACACACACACACACACACACACACACACACACTACATAAATAAATAAATAAATTACTCTTTTTTAAAAAAAAATACAGTCTTCATCTCAATCACTGAGTTCCAGGTTAACTACGGATGTGTGTATAGCAGGATATTTGTTAAGCTTCCAAATAAAAGGTATCAACTCGCCGGGCGGTGATGGCGCACGCCTTTAATCCCAGCACTCGGGAGGCAGAGCCAGGCAGATCTCTGTGAGTTCGAGGCCAGCCTGGACTACCAAGTCAGTTCCAGGAAAGGCGCAAAGCTACACAGAGAAACCCTGTCTCGAAAAACCAAAAAAAAAAAAAAAAAAAAAGATTAAAAAAAAAGGTATCAACTCACATCGTTTCTATGTTCAGTATAATGGCCTCAGCTCAAAGAAATTTTTGATTTGAACTAAAGACTCACAAGAAATGTCACTAATCCACTTTTCCCTGCCCTCTAATATATGGCCTTGCATGAACAATCCATCCTGCTGGGTTCCAGGTAAATTTTCTGGGGTGTCTAGACGACACTGGATGAACCAAATGCTCTTAACTGTCTTCTTGCCTTGACATCTCTAGAGCTTTATATAACAAATCCTCACACAAGGCCTGAGAATCACAAACCAAATGAGGAAAGATAAATATATCCGTGTGATAATTGATCTTTGTCAGACTAATGGATGAAAATTGTCACTTTAATACCAGCTCTGTTCTTTGATGTAGAATAACACACATAAAATCACTGTCCTAATCATCTTAATAAAATAGTTCAGGATTATGTCTATTCATAGAGTTGTGCAAATGTTATCATTCAAAACAAAGACTATGCCCATTAAGCCATGATCTCCACTCCTCCCTCTTGGCATCCCTAGTAATCACCATTCACTTTTCTGCTTTGGACTCCGTATTTATTACAAACCTGTTATTTTGTGACTGGATAGTTTTCTTAGCAAGGAGTTTTCCAGGTTTACCTGTGTGTCAGCACATGTCAAAATTCTTGTCTTTTTAAAGGCTGGATGATATCACAAGCTATACATTCTGTTTTGCATATGCATTAGTGAACATGAGTTGCTTCTACATTCTGTGTCATGAACCATGCTGAATGATTTATGCATTTTTCTATTTAAGCATCACAATATGCCATAATGAGTGATTTCCAAAGCTTGGTCTGACACATTCATCCCCAAGGTCACACAGTTAACAAATCCCAGAGCCAGGATTAAAGCTTAGCTCTGTCCAACTCTAATACTGGACACCATGAGATCTCATAATATTCTTGAACTTTTGATTCTGCTGTTATGTATCTTTTTCACGTATATGATTTTTCTTTTGGGAATAAATGATCATGCCCTTACACTTTCCAAAGCTCTAAAATGGTCTTCGAGGATTGACTCTAAAACTATTTAAAATCGTATTTATTTCCCCTAATTATTTTCTAACTGCTTATCCTTCACTCACATCTTACATCAAAGAAAATACACTCCCCTATTTAAAAAAACAAACAAACAGAAACAAGGGCGCTAGTTGCCTGCTGAACTTATTGTCTTATACAGTGAGCTTTGATGGATACAAAGAAACTTGATGGAAAGGGATTCTTAGTGAGGAGAAGAGAGTCAAATCATAAACCAAGCAACTTAGTTACCCAAATGGTCTTGTGGCTTTTGCTTCATTGTACATTTTAAAAAACAAATTCATTGTAAATACTGACTTGGCTGCCCTCATAAAATAATATAGTACCTATGGCATATTATAATGAATAAGAGCATGGGTTTTGAAGACTGATTTTTTTTTTTAAATCTTAAATCTGTACTATCTTTGGCCAAGTTACTAAGTTTTCCGAGCCAGCCTAAGTCACCTTGTATAAAATAGCCTTAAGAGTCAAGTATTTTGTGTATTGTTGTTAGAATCAGCCTATATCCATAACAATATAGTTGTGTATTGACAGATGAATGTATAGAGAAAATGTGGTACTTATGCACAATAGAATATTTGTTTAGCCATAATGAAAACTGAAATCCTGACCTTTGCAAGAAAATGGATGGAATTAAAAATAAACTACACTCAGAAATCCAAACATCATGTTTTCTCTACTATCCAAATATGTGTGTGTGTGTGTGTGTGTGTGTGTGTGTGTGTGTGTGCGTATTTGTTTGTTATGAAAGTAAAAAGGAAACCATGAGAGAGAAGAAAGACATCTTAAGGGCGTTAGAAAGGGATGAAAGAGAGGGTAACAGAATTCATGTGACATGGAAGCAGAGGATGAGAGTATTTAGGAAGAGGAAGTGAACCTATAGGAGGGGATAGGAGGTTGGGAGCAGTAGGGGAAGGAAATGAGTTAGAACAAAGTGCAATTATATATATTTATTTATGTAATTATATATCACATACATGCTTCATAATATATACACATATGTGTATGATAATCCTATAAAAAACCCTGTGCTTTGCATATTACCCTAAAAATAATTGAAAACAAATACCTTTTTAAAGTCTAGTCCATCATTTTAACTCACATAGAACATTTTCTAGCAATAATGTATTCCATATGTTTCATATTACCAACATTCATGTACGACAAATCATGGTTCCTGCCAATTGTAAATGTGTATAGGATAGAAACCGCGTCCAGCATCTTATGAAGATGTTCACTTGCCTGTGGCTACTTCCATAAAGTACCTCAGCAATGCTCTAACTAAATGGTCTGACACACATTACTGTGAGTGAATGTGTGTTAAACCGATCTTTGTATGAAAGGCTTAGGAAGAACTTTTTAAGTTTTAAGTATTTACAAAAATAAAGGAGTTCAAACAGGGAGCGCAGACTCTATTGCTGACAGATGCTGGGCTTATCCACATTAGCCACAGCACCACCTCTTGGTCTGTAGGACACTTGCCTGAATCTTCAGGTGAAGAGTTTGCTCAACAGAGAAACATTGACTTTGAAAGTTAGAATTCAGCCCTCTTCAGAAAGCTGATGAATTTCAACATTTTTAACAACTCTTAAAGAGTAATTTATGTGCTATATAAATATTAAAATAAAATAAGACAATTTCCTGACCTTTCTATATAGAAGGAAAACTCAACAGAGTATCTCAAATACTAGGAGCAAATTATGTTGTTATTAAATCAAACACTTGACTCTCCAGGACCTCTTGACCAGATTAGAAATATCTTGATAGTTTTTCTCAAATGTAAGTATTTGCTTAGTTAAATAATTTAATAGAGAACATTAAATATTTCGTGTAGCACAATGAAAAATGACATCTCATTGGCCCAGAAAACTTACCTTACAATGAAGCCTGAAGGACAGAAAAAAAAAACACAGAAGTATTTGTATCAGAATTCCTGCGGTCACTGCTTTATGCCCTGCCCCAAGTTTATATTTAATTTAATTTACAACAATTCTATAAATGCCATGTATGTTCATAAGTATATAAGTTACCATCTCTGGTGAAAAGGTCAGACACTTACTGATAACAGCCCCATGCCTCTGAGGGAAGTTCAGACCCTGCCAAGATGTACTGCTCCTCCTAAGGGGAGTGGACCCACCCCCACCACCTTAAAACTCCACAAAGGGTGATGTGGCACCAAGAGCCCCCAGGTTGCTCAGCAACAATCCCTTATGACCGCTCCAAAGGGACTGCTAAGCAACAGTGCTGCATTTGCCCCAGCTGTTCCCAAGAGCACTCCCAGCTCAGTGGCTCTCAAGAGGGCCAGGTTCACAAGAGGCTAGGGGCACCTGGTTTTGTGACTAGTTACATAACATACACACATATGTCTCAGGAATTTCTCCACTGTTGCTAAATAAAAATCAGGGCAGAGTTAGTTTCCAGCCTGAAGGGTACTTTGAATGTACCCTTGATTTAAACTCTGTCCTTGGAGAGTTGCAGAATCTGTCAGAAAAACTAAAGGAACTGAAGCAAAATCTGTAACAAAAGTACTCGAATAAATAATAAATGAGCCAACCTTTATTAAGTCACATTTAAAGGATGACTTCCAAAGCTCTCAGTTTCAAAGAACTTAACCATGTGCCTACGTTTTGTCCAAAGGAAAGTGGGGAAATATAAGAATGAAATCACAATGCTCATGGAAAATTATACCTAACATATTTGAAGCTGGGTGTGAGGACACACTGTTGTAATTCCAGTACTTGACATTGTATGAAACCAGCTGCGCCTACATAATGAGACTCTCTCAGGAAGGAAGGAGAAAGTAAGGGGAGGGAGGATCAAAAGAGAAAGAGGAGAGAAATCATAACTTTACAAAATATTTGAGTGCACAGTTTGGGTTCAGCATAGCAACTTCTAGGCAAAGCTTTCATTTTTATGTATAGTTAAACCCATATTTGGATGTTCTGTCCCAAAGTCTCTATAGTTCTACATGCTGAAACTCAGCAGATCTAAATTAATCCTATTTTTCCGTATCTCACTCATATCTTGAAGGCAACAACTAGTGAATAAGTCTGATGACTATTCCCATCCAGTCATGAGTTCTGCCCTGTCCTTATTCCCCATGATGCCCCCAAACTCATCGGCATAGGAAGGGTACATGGACCCTTACCCATTTCACAAAAGCATAAATGAAATTGCACTACCCCTCTGATTCCAAGCCTTCAATAAAGGCTAAGCATAGATAGCATGATACATAAGATACTTCTGAATCTATTTCCTGTCCAACATCAAGCCACATCTGCTGCTGTTCCATGCGGTACACTTCTATTGTGTTGAATGAATCATAGTTCCTCAAACATACCTACCTCTTCATATCTCTTCAGTTTTCCCAGAATATGTTCTTCTTTCCCTGAGAAATGACAGGTTATCTTTTAAGATCTGGCAATAATATCAATCTCCCCAGAGTAACTGGCCCTGATTTCAAGATTACCGATAAAGACAACTGTTCATGTCCATACTTAACCCAAGTTCCTATGGCAACTTTAGCCACATTGTTTTGAAGTTGTTTACCTTCCCATTAATCCGTGCACTTCAAGAGCTCAGATCATGTCCAACTAGATCTCCTTGGGGCCTGGCCTAGTCCTTAGAATTAAGGAAGTGACTGTTGTATAATGTATTGTTTATTAGAGAAGAGTAATTTTAGGCAAAATTGTAAAATACAAAAAGACTGGGCACCTTTTGGTGTCTTTTACTTTTCCTATCTCCCAAGTGGCCAACAACATACATCAAGGATGGGAAACAATGTAAGTTTCCCAACAATGTCAAAAACTCCATCTCCAGACTCCTCCTCTTAAACTATAATGAATGCTTTTACACTAAATCGTCCTTCATCAGATATCCCTTGAGTGACAAAATCCTTATAATCTGGTTACCTCTATTCTTTTCATTTTTTCCATGCAGTACTAACCCAGTTCTTTGGCAAATTAAGCAAGCATTCTACCACCAAGCTGCATCTCCAGCCTGTCTCCTTCTTACTATAATCATAATAACACAACACTCAAAGAAACTACCTATTCAATAGCCAATCACTGATACTGGTCTGGATCCCATCTCAGAAAGATAATTTTTCATACGGATCAACAATTGGATTTTGCTTGTTTTTGAGATGGGATTTTATGTAGTCCAGGCTGGCTTCAAACTTGTTACATGGCCAAGGATGACCTTGAATTTCAGATTACTGTCTTGCATCACCACGTCTGGTTTCTGTGATGGTGTTCTGGATTGAACTCAAGTTGGTCTAACTGTAAAACCTCCTAAAAAGCCCTGAGTCCGCATTTCCTCAATAGCTGCCTCCTTTGAAGTACTAGTTGAAAAATTAAGTAGGAACATGAGAGAAGAATAATGCACAAAAGCCCATGATTCCAGCCACCAACCACAATATCATACAGTTATTCTTCTTCACCTCTGGAGCTAAAGATATGCCTAAACCTCATGCCTATTGGGTTGTTTGTTGCTGAGCATCTTAGTTCCATATCTGTGCTTGTGCAACTGTCAAGCACTTTTACACTGGGAGCAGTGTGATCATCCAACTTGAACACTAATTCTGAAGAAGGAAAATCTGAATCCTTGGCCTGCTTATGTTGACACACATAGAGAGAATTCTTAATCTATTGAGCTGACTGGTTCCATATCCTGCTACGGCTGTGTGTCTTCAACTGGGAAACCAGTACTGTTAGGAACACTTTGCCAGATCACTCTTGTGTGGAATCACAAGCACAGAATTAATGCTGAGTATCTACATAATATTGCTTAATAGTACTTGGCTTAAAATAGTTACACATTAAAACAAAATAGACCTTGTTATACATTAGAATACAAAATGTACATAGATTTTAAGGTGTATATGAAATTTCAAAGGGAAAAAAACCTCACCTTGCCTCTAGACTTAGTTATGCCTCTAGATTTCTGGGTCTTTAGTGGAGAAAAATAAGAAGGCTTTGTCTTTGGAACTCACTCCTAGATTATGTTAAGATAGGACTTTATTCACTTTCAGACACACACACACACACACAAAACCTTCCTCCTCCTCCTCCTCCTCCTCCTCCTCCTCCTCCTCCTCCTCCTCCTCATCCTCCTCCTCCTCCTCGGTACAAATCTATAGTCACCATGTTTAAATACAGAAAGCACTCTACCTTAGCTATTCCCTTATATTTGGGATGGCAGGTTAACCTTGAGAATTTTAAATTTTTGAAGCAAATATTTTTCTTTCTCCACTATTAGTCCTAAATACGCATGTACTCATAAACACAGTCTAAACCCTCATGTGCGTAAAGTAGGCCTTCCCATTAAAGTAACGGCCACAAACAGTGCAGGTGCATTTGATGCTAAGAGGACTGTTGATAAACAACTGCTGTTATTTCTATGATGCAAACACACGGACGGAAGGAGCAAAGGTTAGAAATTTCTGGAAAAGAAAAGAACAAGTAAGTGGCAGATCTAAGCTCTGAGTTCAGATCTAACCAAGGCTTACTCTCTATACATAACCTGTGTTGAACAGCCACTTGATATTATTAATCTTTACCTGATCAGCAATAAACCAGAAACCTCTATTATTTTACAGATTCTACCAATGGCCATTTCTCTTCTGTCACATCTGAATATAAATATTATATATAAAATGTCCCTTCTACCATATATGTGTATGTGTGTGTGTGTGTATGTGTACACACACACACACTTATATGATATTTTGCTTTCAGATTTGTTCACATATAAACAACCAGTTAAAATGGATTCAGGTTCACAAAATTCAGTATTCAATAGCACTGGCCACAAACTGAAATACAAAGTCTTCCATCTGATATTTAAAGCCCTCCACAACATCCTCAATTTCTGCTTTCACTCTTACTTTCTCTGGGTCCTGAATATTCTTCACAGCTCTCCCTTGTTCTTTTCTGCATTTGTACTTTTGTTCTTGTTACCTTCTAATTCGGGGATGTCTTTTCTCCAGTCATGGAATTTCCTTCTGTGCCTAAAGGACCACCCCAGTTATGACATCTTCTGTTCAGCCCTTCTGATTCCACTTGAATTTTATCTTTCTCTTCTTTGAAGTCTCTGAAGCAGCCTAATGCTTTCTTTTTCTTAGAAGCTATGTGTTCTACTTAGATAGACAGGTGGGTTTATTACCTTCCATCACCTGCTATGAGCAGTCAGAATCCTAAGCATCCTGTAAAGAAGATGGAGTCTCACTCATTCCTACTCTCATAAATTATTAATAAATACACAGAAATGCTTGTATCCAAGAAGATGCTTTTACGTGGACATTTGTTCAACTTTAGTTAACCTTTTACCTCAAAAAAAAGAAAACAGGTGTACTAAGTTAAAATTTTAAATAAGCACTTTTAAATGTTCATTATTTTTATTTTATTTGTCTGGATGCTTTGTCTTACATATAAGTCTATGCACCATGTGCATGCCTGGTGCCCACGGGAGTTAGAAAATGACATTGGATCCCCCTGGAACTGGCATTATAGATGATTGTAAGCTGCCATGTGGGCACTGAGATTCAAACTCAGGTCCTCTGAAAGAGCAGCAAATGCTCTTAACCACTGAGCCATCTTTCCAGCCCTAAATGTACATTTATGATCACTCTCATACATGAGCATGAAAATGAATGTGTACATGCAACATTAAAACATGGAATTATGGGCTCTTTTTACAATAATATAAATAGTTTTATGTCCTGATTTTATGATGAACAATTGAACTCAATTTCTTGATATTGATATAATTGTGTTGAGAAAAAGACTGAAATCTCAAAAAAAGAGAGAAAGAGAGATTTGTCTATGGTCATATGAACTAAAAGCCAAGGTGGCTATATAACAAGGCTTTTAATTTCTAGCTTAATGATTTTTGAGTTCTTATCTTCAAAATCTCTGTCCATGTTTTCTCAGGTGTTAGCCACAGATATATGGTCATATAAAGGAGAAATATTCTCTTTCATATTTATCATTTCTTTTCAAATTATTGTTTGAATACAGAATATATATAATGAAATCCATTAATGATGATTAAAGAGGATTATACTGAACAAGTTTTATTTCTGCAAAACTTACTTTGCAACCTAAAACACAAAGAATACAGCAAAAGTCAAGATATTAAAAAAACATACTGCTACTCTGTGTCCAAATAAATGTCACCAAAAACCTACATGCTAATAACATTTACGGTTTTCACACATAAAACCGTCTTTGGAACCAGACCCTGTGTGACACCTCAGGTTTCATTTTAACCCATTTGTCCTCAGGTGGGAAGATGGCAGTAAGTGTTAGCCCTGCTCAACATCTCTTTTTCTAGTCTTCCTTCCCTTCTCTACACACTGCCAGATTCACCTGTTTCCAGGAACGATGCTGAGATCCAGGCCTGACAAATCCAAGGTTCACAATCCCCTGATCTCAGCAGCTGGTTCCGATGTGGTTTGACTCACGCCTGCCCAGGAAGCGTGTTACATTTTCCCAACCATAGCAGTTGTTTCCAACACGGGCTTATGGTAGGAGCCGATTGAACATGACCTGGGTACTAAAACCCTAGGTACAGACACATTTGTTCCTTTGAGTTTATGCTTTCCAAATTAGTTATGGAAATATTGGTAGCATTTTTTTTTCCCCTCTGAGTAAACCCTGATAATGAAGTTACATCAAGCGGTGTTTAGGAGCTGGTTCCCTTCAAAATAATTTGCATTCTGCCTCAAGCTGTGACTAAAAGCTGAGTGTTTAAGTTTCATAAACCTCATAAACACCTCTTGTCCATTTATGTTAGCTTGACATGGATTTTCTATTGTGGAAAATTGTTGTTCTAATCCTTAAAATATGCTTAATTATCTAAGCATCTCCATTCACAGCAGATGTGAAGGGTTATCTGCAAAGAGGTGAAACAGAAATGTCATATACTTATGATCAAGTGACAGTGCACAGCTTTAAAGGAAAAATGAAGACAAGTAGGTTAAAAAATAAATTTGCACTTTCAAAAGCAAGGGTCCTTAAGTCAAACTGGAACCCCAAGCATGGGCTGCTAAAGGTGAAGCAAGCTTTGCTGAGCCTTATGAGATGCTTAACATTCTTCCACTGCCATCTACCCTGTCTCGGAGAGCTGCCCAGGATCTACTCTGAGAGGAAACTGTTCTTCACTTTTCCTGAAACCTTCTCTCATCCTTCCCAATGCAGATGAGTAAAAGCCAAGGCTCACCCTCCAACTGGCAAAGGCATGTCTAATTTCCCTACCATTGAGTCCACATGGGACTCGGGGATGATTGCTTTACGGCAATGCCGTAGGACAGTGACCAGGTCAGCTACAGTAGATGGACTGCCCACATTATCATACCATCTTTTGGCATCCATTTTTATAACTGAT